ACCCCCCCACTTGGAGGCATGTTTTTCAGGGGGAAAAAGTCGTCTTATACGCCGGCAAATACGGTATATAATTCCTTGGTAAGACCCCACCTAGAATATTGTGCGCAGATTTGGTCACCATATCTTAAGAAGAACATTGCTACCGTGGAAAGGGTGCAACGTAGGGCTACTAAAATGATTCCTGGTCTTAGAGCAGGGATGCCCAACTCCAGTCCTGGGGGGCCAGAGCCCTGTGTAGCTTAGTTCTATCCCTGTTCCACCATAAATGATTCAGCTCAAGAGCTGTGTGGTAATTAGCACAAGGAGTTGAATCAGGTGTGTTAAATGAGGGGAAACCCAAAAATGTGCAGGGCTCTGGCCCTCCAGGACTGGAGTTGGACACCCCTGTCTTAGAGGAATGTCTTATGAGGAGAGGTTAGCTGAGCTGAATCTGTATAGCCTTGAGCAAAGGAGACTAAGGGGGGACATGATCCAGGTATATAAGATTCTAACAGGTCTGGATGCTGTTGAGCCAAATGGCTACTTCAATATTAGTTTAAATACTAGAACTCGTGGCCATAAGTGGAAATTAGCGGAAGAACATTTTAAAATGAATTTGAGAAAGTACTTCTTTACAGTGTTAAGTTAGAGTATGGAATAGTCTTCCTATAGTGTAGCGCAAGCTAAAACCCTGGGGTCTTTTAAATCAGAGCTAGATAAGATCTTAACAGCTCTGAGCTATTCGTTAAGTTCTCCCCAAACGAGCTAGACGATCCGAATGGCCTCCTCTCGTTTGTAAATTTCTTATATTCTTATTTGGAAATTACGCATATTACACCGTATGTAAATAATTTAGAAATGGTGGTACGTGACAGTTTTCTACGGAGTGTAGCCATGTATAGTTCTTACAAATAAAAAGCACATCTGGATACTACTTGAGCAGCGGCTTTGTACCTCGGATTTTCAAGTAGCATTTGCAGTGGGGAAAAAAAATTTAATAACAAAAACATGCAACATTTACCTTAAGAATAAAGAACACGGTCCTCTTCGAAAAAAACAGTGTAGGAGAACAGTGTCACAAAAAATACAGACAAAATGTGTAAGTGAGCAACTACTTTCAGAGCTACAAAAAATAACAAACTTGTGTTTTATATTTGAATCGTCCCTACCTCTAACATTAATGGTTTTGTAGTAATCCTGCCTATAGACTTCCGCAGACAATATACCACAGAACACAACTTCTTCCTCTTTGTTCTGGGTAAGAGGGCGCTGCCGATAACTAGGCGCATTATCGCCACACAGCGGCGTGGAGAGTGAACTGGCAATGAACTGTGCTCTAACTCAGGGGTGCTCAGTTATTTTATCCCGAGATTCAAATTCCATCACTGACACAAAACCATGGTTCCCTCACTTTCGTCGACCGGGGTGGTTTGTGAAACGGGAGGGGGGATCAATCGCATGACACGTCCTACTCTCTAACTGAATATACATTGGTTCTGTATGTATGGTCATTCATTCATACATCTATTCCTTTTGTCATGTCCATAGATACTTCCTCAATAAAGTATAATAAAACGTTACAAAACGGGGCGCCCATAGTAGGGTTGGACATTTTAGGGATTAATGATGCTTGATATGATCTTGCAGTTCATTACATTACAATATAATAGAACAGAAAGAAACACACTACGGCCCATCATTAATAGATAAAAGGAAACAGAAAACTAATAATTAGCATTTTGAATCATTATATCCTTTTATATACTTGGTGTTATGTTACGCGGTGCAGGCGAGCAGAACAGCAGGCAAGCTCAGCCGGACTGACAGGCAAACGAGGTTTATTGCTTACAGACGGGCAGGCAGGGACAGGACCAGGCACTACGTCAGACAACGTCAATGACAGAACTAGGGAATACAGGTACAGACGCCGACTAAATACACCAGACGGATAGGAAAGCACAAGGAACAGGTGATGACAATCGGGTAGCCACGTAGGTAATGAGGGGGGCGTGGCACACACAAGGATCGGACGAGCTGGGCGTAACACTTGGCACTCGATATATCATGTGTAATGCTGTCTTCTGAGGACTGGATTATTTTCACTTGAATCTGAATATAGAATTTTAAAAAGAAATAGATATGTGTTTTCAAAAGTTTACATGGCCTCTTTAGCAATGAGGAGTAAAAAAATGGTGTAGAACTTTCGATGGCATCTACAATCTCTCTTTGCTGTTTGGACCAATTTGCAGGTCTCCAAATGCCATAGCATGCCCAAACCACATAGAATGCTTAAACATCTCAGAGTTTACTTACCTTTTTATGATAACTAAGTAACAGTAAATGAAACAGTCAAAGCCATGATTATCGACTGGAATACAATCCCAAACATTAATGACAAATTACAGTACACAAATTGAGTTTTCACCTCCAACACTAGTTCAAAGGTTATTCACAAATAACAATACACCTTAGGCAAAAAAAAACCAAGTCAGTACCACGTGACAAAAAAAAATAGAATTAATATGACAAGTAAATTATATAAACGCACGGAGTAAAACATAAAAGTGACATCTCCTCTCTTTGTAAAATTATTGCTGAAAAATACTTATATTTCCCATCCCCGAACTCTACTGGTTTTCTGCATGATTCCAGAGAGAAAAAAAACAGTTGAAAGGGACCCACTGGGTGATGCTTAAGGCGTGTGCTCAAGTGATATGAGTGCTTAATGAAATAGTATATACCTGTTATGGCCAGGCACGTCGAAAGGGAATGACAATCCAGAGTGGCTCCAAGAAAGGGTTTATTAACAAATAGAACAGAATGTAAAGGAGAAACCAGAAAATAAAGGGACCATGAGGGGTCAAAACCAAAACAGGTAATACAAAACACTAACTAAATGAATTATAAAGAAAACAAACAACTAGACAGGGAGCAATACCAGGAATAACAAAACCACGGATACATAGGAACACAGGGGAAAAAAGCACATCTACAAACACGCAGAACAACTACAATGACTGACTAAAGAACAGAATGAGGGCAAGCACTTAAATATACACAATAAGAAGGGTCAACAAAGGGCAGTTGGGGACCATAACCAAAATCAACCAATCAGTTAAGGCACAGGGGAACAACAAGCAGGTGGAATAAATTACAAATAACAACCACTGGATAATAGGAAACATTAACAAACCCTGAGGGCTAAGTACACTAGGAGAGAGAAGGAACATAAATATGAGCAGAACATGATTAAACAAGGCACGGGCAGGGTAGACCATGAACAGGCACACAAACCAAAGGCATAGACAAACAATACTAAATACTAAGGATAGCATAAAACCAATATATTAAAAAAAGGTGAGGCTCACCTCAAGCCATCAAGCTACACGGGGGCTGAGAGAGCAGGAAAACACAGTAGAGAAACTCCGAAGGAGGAAAAGACACATTGGACAGAGCCAGATGGGCAGCGACCCAGACATATATAACAGCTGACATTAAAAGTACAATACAGACCAAATTTATATAAAAAAAAAACCTTCCCAGCAGCAAATATAAATGTATTTAGGTTCTTTATAAAAATATTAATGCTCTAAACTAAAATATAAAAAAACATATATACAAGTTCATGATTATCCTTTGTGAACATTTTATAATTCTAATTACACCTTCATCTGTGTAAGAGGTGATCACTGTTTACAAAAGGCTAGTGGACTTCATTTACACAGGAAAACATTTTTAATAAAGTATACAAAAATATTTCTATATATTTTAAATAATTTAAATTCAAGTTTTGCAAATTTCTGTAGTCTCCATTTACATAACAGTATGTGTGATGCATGTTTTAATCTTTTTCATCAAGAAATCAGGTCTTAAGTCTGTTTTTACTACGTCATCTTTTTCAATTGAATGGGTCCTCTCATGTATTTTTTATGTTACTAATGTCAGAAAAAATTCTTTCTGCACACAGCTCAACGATGAGGTCTTTCCATCAGGTCAACCTTAAGATGTCTTTTTAAATACCACACTTTGGAAAAAAGTTTTCCAATGTTCACAGCAGTTCGGTCCTTCACCTGAATGTACCATCAAGTATTTTTAAAGTAGTTTACTTCTGTAAAACCTTCCCCACAAAAGTTCAGCTGTATGGTTTTTCAACAGAATTAATCGACAAGTGATTTATTAAGCAATCTGCCTGTCTGAAACATTTACCACATGCAGTATAAGTGTTTCTCACCAGAATGATTCCTTTTGTGCACTGTTAGGTGAATTGCTTAAGTAAAACTCTTCCCACGTTCAGTACAAATGTAAGGTCGCTCAGAGTGTATATAAAACCTCATGTCACACTCAGCACACTGATACGGTTTTTCACCTGAATGGAATCTCATGTGAACTTTTAAGGGATAAGCTACAGTAAACCTCTGTCCACACTCAGAACAAATGTGGGACTTTTCACCTGAGTGAACCCTCTGCTGTTTTTTTTAAGTAGAATCTGGTTGTAAATCCTTTTCCACACTGGTCACAAATGTATGTTTTTTCCGTTAAATGAGTTTCTTCATGTCTTGCCATATGGGTCCGATTTGCAAAGGTCTTCCCACATTCATTACACCTGTTTATTTTTTCACTTGAATGAGTTCTTTTGTGTATTTTTAAGGTAGAAGGACTTTTAAAACACTTCCCACAATCCAGACAACCATGCTTATTCATATTTGAGTTATCCTGCTGGTGCTGATTTACTTGGAATGAGTCGACACAATCACTTTCTTGATTATTTTGATCATTTCTGGAAAATGAAAACCGCTTGTATCTGAAGATACTATATTCCTTTCACACTTCTCTTTTTCATCCTCCTTACATAACCTAGTCTCAGAATTAGGTGCAAAAACAATTGAATCTGTTAGACCTTCACTAAATTCACCCGTTATTTTGTCACCATCACCAAATTGTGACTTGACATGATGCCTCATCTGGTCATAGCCTGGATCAATTGTTTCAGTTTAGATTTGCTCAAATTTCAGGCATTTTTCTAATCCCACCTTGCCAAAATTGAGGTTCTGCATTGCATCTGAATTTTCCATGTTCTTGAAAATTGCTAGACATCCTCTTGATTTAAATTTTGCTTTGGTAAGTTTCTCACTGTCGATGCATTGTGTATTGGGGTCTTCTGCCATCTGAACATAATCTGGATCAATATGTTCAGATTTGATTTGTCTTGCATTCGGATAGACTTCATCAATATCAGCATTCTGTATGATGGCTGTATATGCTGGGTTGGCACAATCCGAATCAGATTCAGTCTTACCAGTCATTAACAACCTGCCTTGTGATTTTTCACCAAAATGAACTTTAAGGTGTCTTTTTAAGTAAGGCATACACTTGAAATGTTTCCCACACTGGTCACACTTGCTTGGCTTTTCTCCTGAATGAGTTGTCATATGTACTGTTAATGCACTTCCTTGTGCAAAACTTTTCTTACACAATGTGCAGCTATATGGCTTTTCACCAGAATGAATTCTCATATGTATCTTTAAGTTTGTTGCCTGAGTAAAACTCTTGCCACATTCAGAACAGCTATATGGTTTTTCCCCAGAGTGAACTCTCTTGTGGATTTTTAAACTATAAGGCCTTTTAAAACGCTTTCCACAATCCAAACAACCATGCTTATCCATATTTGAATTATCCTGCTGGTGCTGCTCTATTTGGAATGAGCCAACACAATCACTTTTTTGATTATCATGATCATTTCTGGAAAATGACAACTGCTTGGTATCTGAAGTTAATAAATCCCTTTCAAATCTCTCTTCTTCATCCTCATTACACACTTCAGTCTTAGAATTAGTTGCAAAATCAATTAAATCTGTTAAGCCATCACTAAATTCACACTTCACACCTGTTCTGTCACATTCAGCAAACTGTGACTGAACATTATGTCTCAACTGATCATAGCCTGGATCAATCGTTTCAGTTTTAATTTGCTCAGATGCCAGACATTCTTCTACTCCCACCTTGACAATATTGTGATTCTGCATTGCATCTGTATTTTCCATGTCCTTGAAATTTGCTAGACGTCCTCTTGCTTTAAATTTGGCTTTAGTAAAATTCTCACTTTCGACACACTGTGTATTGCAGTCTTCTGCCACCTGAACATAATCTGGATCAATATGCTCAGATTTGATTTGTCTTGTATTCTGTATGATGGTTGTATATGCTGAGTTGGCACAATTCGAATCAGATTCATTCTTAACAGTTATTTTTAATCTGCCTTGTGATTTTT